TCTTTTTTATATAGATCATTCTGTATTATCCCTCTGTTTTTGTCTGTCCTGATTTCTCTCTCTCTCTCTCTCTCTCTCTCTCTCTCTCTCTCTCCATTTCCTCCTCTCTTTCCTCTCTTCTTCTCCATTTCTTACCCCTTTTTCCCTCCCCCTTCTATCCCTTTCCCTCTCTCCCTCTCCCTCTCCCCCCTTTCCTTCTCTCTCCCTCTCCCCTCTCCTCTTCTCCCCCTCCCACCTCTCCCTCTCCCTCCCTCTCCCCTCCTCCTCCTCTTTCGACCTCTCCCCCTCTTTCCCACTCCATTTTCCCCTCCCTCCCTCTCCCTCTCTCTCTCCATTTCTCCCTCTCCCTCCCTCCCCTCTCCCCCTCTACCTCACTCTACCTCCCTCCACAATAATCCTAAAACCTTTCCCACTCTGTCCTCTCCAAGGATGTCTTAGACGTAATAAGGGGCTTCTGGGTATAAGCACATGACCAGAACCATCACTCAGGAATTTCATTACTATGTGTCCTCAGTAACATGGTGGAATGCCTGTATTTTATCTTTAGACGTGTGGCTATACGTAGGAGTGTGTGTGTGTGTGTGTGTGTGTGTGTGTGTGGGTGTGTGTGTGTGTGTGTGTGTGTGTGTGTGTGTGTGTGTGTGTGTGTGTGTGTGTGGTTTTGTGTGAATGTGCTTTATGTTTAAAAGCTAGATGCATTATATGTGGAAGTGTCTCCTCATGTATAATGCATATGTATGCATTTGCTGAAGTTTGAAAGTTTGAATGTATGTGCATGTTGATATATCCGTGCATATGTGTTTTTTGTCTGCTTATATATATACATATATTTACACACACACACACACACACACACACACACACACACACACACACACACACACATATACACACACACACACACACACACACACACACACGTGTGTGTGTGTGTGTGTGTATGTGTGTGTGTGTGTGTGTGTGTGTGTATCAATGTACATTATATATATATGTGTGTATATATATATATATATATATATATATATATATATATATTTATATATATATATATATTTATATATATATATATATATATATATATATATATATATATATATATATATATATATATGTATATAAACTGCTAAATTACTATACCAGACTCCACACGACCATTCCCTGTACCAATCGGCGCTGTACATCCTTGCGTGAGTGATGGAACTTCTTGCGAGATGGGATTCACAAGCAGCTGGTCGGGCCTGTGATGGATCGGTCAGCCCCTTCCTCTTCTGTGGCGTTATCTCACCTTCTATTTCCTCCTTTCTCCGGCCTCCTTGCCTCTATTTATCTTTCTTCTTGTCCGTTGCTTTCTTTCTTGATTTGCGTTGCGTCGTATATCCTTTGATTTCGTGTTTTTTTCTGGTCTATTTTTTTTCTTTCTTTCTTTCCTCTCTCTCTTTGCCTTCTTCTTTTCCTTTGCCTCCTTTTTCATTCTTATCATTTTACCACTTTCCCATTTTCTTTCTATCCTCGCCCTCTCTTCCTTGGCTTTTTTCCCTCCGTTTTTCCTTTTCTTCATGTTTCTTTGCCCTCACCATCATCATTGAATCATTGGTGTTACTTTCCTGTTTTTATTATCATTGGTGTTGTTATTATTATTATTGTTGTTGTTATTTATGTTGTTATTGTTATTATCATTATCATTATTATTATTATTATTAAGAGAGAAAGAAAGAGAGAGAGAGAGAGAGAGAGAGAGAGAGAGAGAGAGAGAGAGAGAGAGAGAGAGAGAGAGAGAGAGAGAGAGAGAGAGAGAGAGAGAGAGAGAGAGAGAGAATGAGAGAAATGCAAACCCTTTAAAATAACTCGAATAGGCATTTTCAACAGCGTATTTAGCAGCAAACAACTCTTTTTAAGGGGTGACTATTAAAAACATAGGTTCAAAGATTTCTTTTTACCTCCATAATAGACGGATTGTAAACTAAACATCTGGATGGGTTGTATACGGGTTACGATAACAGGATTTTAGAGAACTGGATCTAATTATAGAACGAGGATCCAGTCAAATTTTGCATTGCCAATGCAGTCAATCGTAGAAAACGGATGTGATAGGATGTTTTTTGTATTTTGAAGTAATTTGAGTAATTTCTGAGTGCTGTCTTGTGTTTATATGTACGTGTATTTATGTAAGGGGCTATTGACATTACGTCACGCAAGGGGGGTTGGGGGTCTTTTGATTTTTGTGACAAAGTGTGACAAGGGGTGGGTGGGTTGTTTATAGAGTATGATGTCACTTTTTTTTTTTTTTAAACAACTCGATATTTAGCACATTTGGTCTAAAAATAGCCCTTTTCTAGAACAAATTTGGCTCCACATCTAAAAATAATCTGGCAATCCTATTTTGATTTTGATTGATATTTTGATTTTCATTGTCACAGTCACAGTACATGCCAACATGGCTGACACCTTAAACCGGGAGAAACTTCTAAAAATGCCAAAATTAGTGTGACGTAATATGTGA